TAGTTTGCAACGTTTCGAAAATACAATTTTCATTATCAAGCTGGTGAAGGTTTTACAACATCTGAAATTGAATTTGAAATGACAGAAGTACATATCAAAGGTAAAGTGGATACAATACGAAATATTAGCTTAAAAATTACTCCGAAAATAATTTCAGCGTCCGGACGAATCCAGTAGTTTGGAGGTTGATAGCCGGAGACTCGCTCTTGATAATGAGGGCCTCAGCTATCGTCAATCTCGATGGGTCGGGGCACCGCATAACTATGCTGGTGCAGGCTTCCAATGTCGCTCGGGTGATGGTCTCATTGTGAGCCTCCCGCATGTGATTCTTAGGTCCTCTAGATTGTAGGTGGCATGTTGCCACCTACAATCAACATGCCACCTACAATCTGGAGGACCTAAGAACCACATGCGGGAGGCTCACAATGAGACCATCACCCGAGCGACATTGGAAGCCTGCACCAGCATAGTTATGCGGTGCCCCGACCCAGCGAGATTGACGATAGCTGAGGCCCTCATTATCAAGAGCGAGTCTCCGGCTATCAACCTCCAAACTACTGGATTCGTCCGGACGCTGAAATTATTTTCGGAGTAATTTTTAAGCTAATATTTCGTATTGTATCCACTTTACCTTTGATATGTACTTCTGTCATTTCAAATTCAATTTCAGATGTTGTAAAACCTTCACCAGCTTGATAATGAAAATTGTATTTTCGAAACGTTGCAAACTATTAAAATGTCATTCGGAAACCTGCTTTTCGATCTCCCGACGCCAGCAAGAAATTTGGTTCGACTCATTGAAAAAACGAACAAGAAGATTGTTAATAAAAAGCATGCTCTGGTCTTCAATCAAACTTGCATAAGAGAAAAGCTTCTGCCTAACTACACCAATATAAATTTATATACATATAAATTTTAATACTTATAATGAAAATTCAGACAAGATAATGCCAACAGTGTTTATTTTTTAGCAACAAAACGGACGATGACGATGAAAGTGACGTACAATGATGATACAAAATGGTAATGAATATTATTGAATCTATTTACAAGCCTATCTGAGTTGTCAACAATTTTTCTCGGCCTCATAAGGCCTACCTAAGCTACAGCAAAGCTGACTCCTTAGCACAGAAGTTGGCACAGCTTCAATTAATCGGCCCCGCCTGTACGAAAGCTGCCTCTTCAGCGTATTAAATAAGAACAAGAAGTCCAGTACCAAATTATATCTTAAAATAATTCATGGTCTTTGAATTCATGTTATTTTCTACTCTATAATATATTGTAGAGATTTTCCATCGTATTTGTTTATTTAATTTTTTATTGATGTTTCAACTATCAATGCATAGACTTTAAAAAAAACTCGTATGGACCTATTCAAATAATTAAATATGTAATATGTGCGTCAATTTTAAGTATTAACAGCCATTCGTGCACAATTTTATTCTTTGTACCTCAACATAATGAAGCAACAGGCGTAAAAACACTAAACTATTCGAACGCATATTTTTAAAATTTAGAATATCGTGCACGCGACCCCGCAGGGTCTCAGGAGACGGAGATTTTGAATGCCAGATTATCTTGTTGAACGCCAGGCAAGCCTAGCACAGCTGAATAATTTTCTCACGTACAAATCCAGAAATACAAAGCAACTACGAGGTGACTTGGAAATTGCGAAACTCCTTACGAGAATGAATCTTTCATTCGGATTTGAATAGGCAACACGCCTCAAAAATTTTTTGCCTTTGACTATAAACTAAAAATCAAGACTGTCACAAAATAGTCCAGGAATTACTTTCAGTAAGGATATTTAGACTTCTGGGAACATTGATCCATACAAATCATTGTTTGTTAATTACATTAAGGAGTGAATCCTGAGTAAGTTCGTGGTTTTTTGTCAGTCCATACAGTGAGCGCCATACCGCCGACATTGCCAACAAGCTCGATAATGAATTGAAACTGCAGCAAAGTTTCTTGTTTACATAGGCTATTTAAATTAAGTTCCATGAGTTCAACAGTTGCGTTATTCCTTACGTGGCTATTCTGCATGTTTATGGTATAAGAAGCACAAAGGAAATATATTTATTTTAGTGTTTCTATGAGATATAGGTACATCATCATACTGACACTTTTTAAGGTAGCCGATCTCGCACCAGGAAAAGTTCCAGTTGTCGTCACTCATGACAATGGTGCCAGTGTCAAAGCTGCAACTCCCAAGTGCACCTTTATATTGACGCGTCTTTGCTATGTGTGGACCATTCCCAAAATTTGGTCATCAAGGACACTGTCGACGCCACCATAACAGTAAACCATGTAGTCACTGGTGCTCACAAGCTAGCAGAAAGAACGCACAAGCGTCATTTGTCAAGTGACAGGATCAAGGATGTATTTGCACCTATGAACAAGGACCATCGTCTTGCCATGGTGTCCTATGTTACAGAGTTCGTCTACAAAAAATTCATCGCAGCCAATATCACCCGCTGTAATTCTACATACACGTGTGTTCAAGATGTCATTGGAATGAAAGAACCTCTTCTATAGGACTTCTATATTCTTCTATACTTCTTCTATAGGACTTCTACCTCTTCTATATTGACTCCGTAGATGTTGCATCTCTTGTATCCTCCGAATTGGATTTCAAAGTGCAAGGCAACTTCGTGCGGTCGTTGAAAGCAATCGGGACGAGAGACACGTTTCTCCTCATCGTGTCTTGCATGGAAGTGGCCAGCTACTGGAAGTGACTAGAAGCAATGTAGTCAGTCTCCACCTCCCGAAGACTCGAGCTCCTTATTCCTGCTGGCTGACTTGGCCATAGGTAACTATGCTGAGCGCGCAGATTATTTATTGGTGTAACTAACGGGTTTTGCGAAGTTCAGAATCATAATGCAAAGTGGTTATAAAACTAAGGGAGCCACTTGGGCTTCCTAATCTTATCGAGGGCTTGATGAGTATCTTTTATTATCCTTTCCTTTGAAGTCTTACGTTATATTTTGACGCAGGACGGTCATTTCGTAAATGGCAAAGCTGCCATTTGCATCCTATTTCGAGCGCATTTGATGCCAATCCGCAATCCGCATTTGATGCTTCATCTTTTCCAGTTGAAAATAAGTTTCAATTACAAACGTGATTCACCGTTTATTTTTACTTTTAATCCATCACTTTACTGTCAAAATCCTCTCATAATCAAAACCTAGATAAAAGTCATCAATTCAAGTTGAACATTCTTGAACTAGAATTATAGTCATCCAATTTCCAAACGGAAAAAAGCCCCCATGTATCCGAATATTTTTAAACATCTTTCCAAATAGATTTAATGGGGCATTCAATGTAACAATCAGGGCCCATTTTGAATCATTTTTCTCACTTCATCACCGAGTTCGGTTGATTCTTGCATTACTTTCCTCAGAATCTAATCGGTTTAGGTTATTTATTTCTCTGTTATTATTTTTTTAGATTATTATTAAATTTTTTAGTTTGTGTGGACTTCTATCTTCCACACGTACTCTTTATTCAAATGGCCAAGTATTCATGAGACACTGCTTCATTTCCCAGCAGCATATCCATGTAAAAATGTACACTACTATTTATTATTGGCTACTTTCTTCTCGTTTCTTTTGAAAGAATTGCTGTAGAACCTCACGTCATGGCCTAAATTTAGTTATCCTGATCTCGTTACGGCTGTCGGACGCAATTTGTGAATTAATTGATACTTCCCGAGTAAAATGGAATTTTCTACAATACACACTTAAAACTGATTCGGGTATAAACTTTCAATTTACCTAAACAGACACGAGTCAATGAAATAATAGCCGGTAGAATGTTTTAGAATTTCCAGTGCTTTCTGACATACATTAGATATCGTCCTAATTAAGTATTATTTAATAAAGCTAGCTACTCATCGCGTTCTTCACGTCACTTGCAGAATATATCAAAAAGTATACCCGTGACTGCAGCGGAGGTTCAGCCACCGGGACCTGTTCGCCTGCATCTTCTGCCAGTAGCTCGAGTTGAGCGATTGCACGCTCTGGACCCGTTTATTTTGAACCATATGGCGCACTGTCAACCATATCGAGATGATCGCTCGTCTGCAACCTATGACGTCACAGCACACAACCATTTAATGGCAACTACAGTAATTCCTCGCAATACCGCGCTTCACTTCATCGCAGTTTCCCAAGAAGTTATAATTAATGAGCTTCAGCCACCGGGACGTGTTAGTTGTTAGCCTGCCCCTCCTGCCATCTCGTCCCTATAGAAGTGACGCTAGTTCTTAACTTATCCATGGTTGAACTAATAAACCATGCACTTATCAGGCTGACAGTCGATGAAAATTATTAGTGAAGACAAATTTATCGAGTTGCCGTTCAAGCATTGTAACATTGCCCAAAAAATAGTAGTGTATGTTCGCAAAATTGATTAAGAGACCATGGTATCTTTAGATGGTTTCAATTCATTTAAGAAACTAGGGGATTAGATTCCGTTGTATTTGGTGATTTAATAATAAATTATTACAAGTGAGCAAGAAATGCGGCAACCACACCCCAGAATTTGGAACGTTTCTCGCAGGTTCAGCAAGTACCAGCTGTATAGACACGTACACAGATGGGTCATCTGAGGTAGAGCATGTAAGGCTTTAGTCGGGCTAGCGCGGCTACCGTACAGGCTCTTCAGGCGCCGCCCCTCGTGTCGTTGCAGGAATCCAGCGAACACAAGAGATCTGTGCTCAACGTACATTCAACTTAATATTAGCGTTCTTTACCTCAACACGAGAAACTGGAATAACAGGTAAGTGCCACGACACCGCCAAGAATAACTTTAGAAAGGAATTCTGTCAATTACTATAATCTAATTTTCTCAAAATTATTAATGAATCTAATTTGATTCGTTATCACTGCATAAATTTAGAGTTGAAACTATTAGATAACTTGAATAAAAATCAACTAAAAAGAAAGATGGCAGTTTGAACGTGTACTCATAACCGAAAATTACATGAAAATATGAACATTGAAAAGCAAAACAATAATCAAATTTGAAAAGAAGTAATTAATCATAACACGCTTTGATAATATTAATAAATGACCGTCACCATAATGTCCATTCAGTCACAAAACAAGAACTGAGAGCGATTGATTACAAAGATTCTAGGAGCTAATGCCTTTACTTAGAAACAAACTAAAACCATCCAGTTGATCAAACTTACAACCTAATTCGCAGCAGAACGCTTGATGATAGAAAAGGGTGTTTTGATAAGATGTTTGAGACACGTGAACTTATTCCCAGAAATTCCCAGTTGAAAAAAATATTTCAGGCTACTTCGCAATCCCGTAATGTTGATGCCACACATAAAATAATTAACACTAAAAGATTTCTAAAAACGAATCCCCCACAAGTCTCGCCTTTTTTGGACTGAAATGCTACTAGTAGGCATGTAAATAATATTGTTCTCCAGCGAGAAATTCTCACTAAATATGAAAGATTAAGCTCTAACTAAATTGAATAAAAAAAATTACATTGAAAATATGAGGAGATGAAAACCCGACCTTAATGGGAAAAGTTGCGTTAGAAAACTATTTTTAAATGCCATATAGAAAGGAACCGTATAATTCTGCTCTCAATTCATCCCATTACGCTTAAAGAGGCATTCCCGGATCCTCTTTGTGCGAAGAGAGTTCGTGTCTTCATACACGGCAACATTGATTAAATGAATGAAGTTTGTAAAAATTATAATTATAATACGTACTCAAATTATGCGGTTCATCTAGTATCTATTTCATAAATCTATTAAAAATGAAGTCCATTAATACATTGGAGAGATGTGATACGCGTTCCTCTGAAAATACAAATCAGGATATTTCTTCAGCGCACATATCATGAAACGAAGTCAAATTAACATCAACATGAAACTACATCAAATTTAATTTCAACTTCTTTCTAATGACTCTTCCACACGTTTGGATTGTTTAATATCGTATTGAAAATTTCACCGAGCTGTTCATGGCTGGCATTCTCCGTTCACGCGGTGTGGGGAATAGCCGCAAAATAAATCAATTATGTCAGCATTGTTCCGAGCAAAGGAGCAAATTCATGTTCTGTTAAATACTGTAACGTACTTAACATTCAGATTTCCCAGCGGTTGACAGAAAACTTTAAAAAGATGGAATGCTGAAATCTAATGTGGTGGGTTTAATTTTTAAGTATAGTCTAGACTGTAGCTTATGTTGCTGGGCTTCATCGATTGAATGATTGTTCATTCTCAGTGTGCCAATACTCGTGTAACAGTACAAATACTCCGCAACTTGCTCCGTGACGCCTGCTGATAAGCCACTGCAATCGTGGATCCAAAGTTCGTGGTTCCTGAGACAAGCAATGTTGTCATGATTAGAAATAAAAATGGATATTGAAATGACAGCTGAACGTGCATCAATAAAAACACGTAAAGCCGGCGTCAACGATTTTTTTTATAATTTGATCATGTGATATCACATGTATGACATAAGGACAAATACGTTCATCACAAAATTGTACAAAAAATCATACGTAAAAAAAACAATCCAATTAATTGGCACCGAAATGATTTCTTCAGTAACATTTCTTACTACAGTAAGAAATGTTACTGAAGCACAGTTACAGCTCAGAGCACAGTAAATTAAGTCCTTAGGAATTTATTGATTATTTTCTTCGTAAAGCAGTTAGTATGAAGTGCGAAGACTTTTTTTGCTTTCGGCAAATTTTTACATTTCATTTCGACGCACATTTCTACCTACAGGATTAGCTGTGAATGTAGAGAGAAATATATATCGGAATATAATATATATAGTTAAAAATATAGGAATATTGTTTGAAAATTACTACCGGAAGCATGAAATTGTTACTATGCTGTTTCAGAACCCATTGCTTCACAAAACACGGAAATAACTCACGGCTTGCCTGCAGTACATCCGAGCAAACGACTGACCACGCCGCAGCATCTGTCCCAGTCTCCATCTTCCAGTTTCACCAAGTGAAGTCGGTACCGCCTGTTAGTCTTCGGCTGTAGGCTCGCCACGATATCGTTCTCATTGATGCTTTTGTTGATGGCAATATCTGCATGGGCAGACATGGTAAAATATCTGGTAAATATAAAAATATCTGGATTTGGAAAATACGTATCTGGCAAAAATCCATTTCTTTGATATATGTGAACATGTCACGAGAAGTACATGAATAGGCTGCAGGCCAGGAGCTATTTTTTTCGGGGCCGACTAACTTATATAATGTTATGAAAATATTCCTAAAATATGGGTTGGATGACATACATATAAATTTTGAAAATGCATTGATGAAAATGTGAATAATTCTTTTCTCAATCTATAAAAAGTAATTTTACTTCAATTCGAATGAACATGGCAAGCAAATGGAAACAAGGCTGCTTGATAGCGGGATAAAAAAGTCTCCCATACATGCCTGGATCCTTTGAAGTAATTGACATATTTCCTCTGAGCAAACGACTGCGAATGTGTTGGTAATTTAGGAAATTTAACAGATAACAACGTTTGTCATGTAACGTTTGTCATTCATGTATCGTGGATTGAATTATGTGCATGCTGTTAGAGGTGGGGAGGAAGAAGATACATTTTTTTCATGGAGTTTTGCTTACCATTGATCCCAGAATCTCGTGCTTTGAAATTTTTCCTTGAAACTCTGTCCTTTTGGAGACGTCCTTAAAAAATAATAAATGGGGGACTTGTGAAGGGTTTGAATAATTATTCAATCTAAAATCTCACGGAGACAGAACCTTATGAACATTTTTAAACATTTATTTCGAACTCAATAAAGAACTGACCTGCTATGACGGCTCTCCGGTCACCAGAGCCCTGGCTCCATCGTCAGTTGACTGTTCGCCTGGAACAGCAAGAAAATTACTTTAATATATTATAATCTGAGGGAAATTATCAACACTATTGAACTTTTTTGTTACTTAAAAAGTACTATGTGTTCGTCATTGGTTATTGCATTTCAGGTCGTATTCAATGTGTAGCGGTAGTTAGGGTGTAGCAGTAGTTGGGGTGTAGCGGTAGCTAGGGTGTAACAGTAGTTGGGGTGTAGCGGTAGTTGGGGTGTAGCGGTAGTTGGGGTGTAGCAGTAGTTGGGGTGTAGCGGTAGCTAGGGTGTAGTAGTAGTTGGGGTGTAGCGGTAGCTAGGGTGTAGCCGTAGTTAGGGTGTAGCAGTAGTTGGGGTGTAGCGGTAGCTAGGGTGCAGCAGTAGTTGGGGTGTAGC